CCCCAAACCCCACCCCCTACCCCCAAATATAATCCACTCTGCAACCCTCATTGCATACTCCAACCTTTTTTAAGTGCTAAAGCTTACGCCACGGGGCAGCAAGCAAGCGGGAAAGGCGGAGCGAAGGAGATGGAAGAGCAGCCAATCAGCTGGCGAGTTAGCCTTCCAATCGGAGTTCACGCCTTGCGCACAAAGTCTTGCGAGAGGACAAAGTCTCACTACAAGGGCGTTTCACTAGCATGTTTGGGCTCGTTGGGCGACGTCCTGGTATAAAAGACTCCACACGAGCGGGTAGCCGCCCTTCTGGGGTTAGTTTAGAGGTTTGATTCTTCTCTGAGAGAGGCCGAAACAAGCCGCAGCAACGTCTAAGCCCTTCAAAGGATCCGGAGACAGGGGTAAGGGAAAACCGCAGCCACCAGCCCAACCACTTGTGTCTTCAGCCCCCCATCCACCTATCTTGCCCCCCCCATCTTGCCTCCCCACCAGCCCACGCTGCTTGGGACTGAAATCTGTGGCCGAAGGACCGTTACCACATAACTGCAAAAAATAATCAACCACCCTCCCTCCCAAACCCACCCAAATAAACTCATCCAGCGTTTTAATTTTTTTAATCCACTCACATTTTTTTCAAAGACCCCCCCCTCCCTAAATGGAGTTGGGGGGGAAATGACTACTGAGTTGGCCTTTGTTTTTTAGAGACTTTTTGAGGCCCCTCAAATAATCGAGTCTTGGGTCCTGGTTGGTGTTTTTTTTCCGCCAAATTTTAATCCCCTACCCCCTGAGCCCGAGGTGCTGATGTCGCAAAAAAAATTGGATAAAATCACAATCATGGGTTCGGGTCCAATAGATCCCAAAGAGCTGCTCAAAGGCCTGGATACCTTTCTTAACCGAGATGGGGAAGTCAAGAGTGTAGAAGGGATTTCCAAGATTTTTAGTCTGATGAAGGAAGCACGAAAGATGGTGAGTTGGTGCACTTACTTGAACATTGTCCTGCAGACCCGTTCACCGGAAATATTAGTCAAGTTTATTGATGTTGGTGGTTACAAGCTTCTTAACAATTGGCTGACATATTCAAAGACAACCAATAATGTTCCCCTCTTGCAACAAATTCTACTGACTCTGCAACACCTTCCGCTCACTGTGGATCATCTCAAGCAGAACAGCACGGCCAAGTTGGTGAAGCAGCTGAGCAAATCAAGTGAGGATGAAGAGCTTCGGAAATTGGCCTCCGTCCTAGTCAGCGACTGGGTGGCTATCATCTACTCTCAGAGTAGTGCTCAGCCTGCCGAAAAAGATAAGAAACGTAAAGTAGAGGGAAAGAGTCGAACCACTCCTCCTGAGCGACCTTTGACTGAGGTAAAGGCTGAGACTGGGACTGAAGAGGCCCCAGAGAAGAAGAAAGAAAAGCCCAGGTCTCTTCGAACCACAGCGCCCAGTCATGCCAAGTTTCGTTCAACTGGGCTAGAGCTGGAGACACCATCTTTGGTTCCTGTGACGAAGAATGCCAACGCAATGGTGGTTTCTGACAAGTACAACCTGAAGTCCAGCCCTCTTAAGCGGCAGAGCTCTGCAGCTGCTCCTGGAGATGCTGTCCCTCCTGAAGAGAAGAAATACAAGCCACTCAATGTCACTCCCAATGCCACCAAAGAGATCAAAGTGAAGCTCATCCCCCCACAACCTATGGCAGGCCTGGGCTTTCTGGATGCTCTCAATTCAGCCCCTG